TTTTTTTTTTTTTCAAGAGCAAAAAGATTTGGCTGAGGGCAAAATCTCATCACGTTATATTTTATATAACTTTAATGCTGTATATCAGAGTGCTGCCTTTGTACATTTGACTGAATTGCCTAATAACTTTTATGATGGTTGTTGTTGTTTATTAAACATTATTATTCTATAATTGTATTAATAATAGTACTTGGTATTCAGAAACGGTGTGTGTTCATGATGGTGATTTTAGTTACTCGTGTGATAATGCTCATATAATTATATAAAGACAATTCTATTCCATCCATCTATTCTCCAAACCGCTTATACTCTGTAGGGTCGCAGGGATGGAGCCTATTTCAGAGTCTCAGGCCACAGGCTCACGACACCCTTGACAGATGGCCAATCAATTCTATTAATTCAATTCTATCCTAAAATTAATTCTAATGCCAAAAGCTACAAAAATATCAAATAGTATAAACATGAATTCATATTAGTTTCAGAAACAAGAAGCACAGATTGGGGGCTTTGCTTCTTCATTTCTGAAGTCTACCAGGCAAAACCGGTGATAGTAGAGGGGTGGAGGACACCCTATAACAACCCTGTGATTGTTACACAATTCCAAGATATCTTCTCTTCTGCCTCCCTGCCTCACTTTTGCAGCTGCCTTGTATAATTCCAACAAACTTATTTTTGTGGCTCCGTGGCTCCCCTCCAAAAACCAAAAGCACCTCCCACGCAATACATTGCCTTTTCGCCTCCTTTTTTGCCAATCTTTGTTTTGTTTTGCGGTGAAAGCAACGAAAATCCCTCTCTACGAAAATAGTTTTGTCACTTGCATTGTTAAACTCCTCTTACAAAAAAAACAAAGAAATTCTGTAGAAACTCTTTCAGAAAACAAAAGTTGCATGTTTCGGTGTTGATGTGCATCTGTTTTTCCCTCTAGTTCTATATACAGACCCAGTGATAGCCGCTATGCCTGAGGCTCAGAGAAACAAACCTCCCTGTCTGGAATCATTACAAAGTCATCATAGTCGAGTTCTTAAGACCATTAATAGGTCATTTTCTTGGAAACAGAATGCTCCTTTATGGATTACGATCCAACCAGACCACCCGCATGACCCAGATTTACACATTTGGACTTTTCCACACATGCCACATGAATAAAACAGAATATTTACTGTTTTACGAGTCATCACAGCAATGTACTGTTCCATGAATTAGACATAACATGAAAAACACATGACAAATCTAACTATACAAGAATGCCAGACTGCCATCCAACTATTCCAGAATGGCATTTTGGAATTACAACCGTTCCAGTACTAACACAAGTATAAACGTGAAATCCGATTCCTTTTAAATGCATATTTCTGGTCTTATTGTGTATTTTGACATCATTCCAAAATGTGCACGTCATTCCAAACTGAAAATGTTTGTCTTGGTAATCTTATTCAAAATGTGATCCGCATCTTTCATTCTTGCCAATTTATTTTTTCCAGTTTATTTTTGAACCCCCCACTGCCATCCAGCCACCTGCTTTTTTTAGATCAGGCAAGTAGGCAGGTTTTGGCATATATTCCCATGCTATAAAATTGCATCTTGAAACAATCAACCGCTTTGTCGCACTGTAATTCATTAAAGTGATCATGTATCTCCATCAGATCCACAAGAAATAGTAGATCATTGGGATGGTAATTTTAGCGTACTGTATTCGGGACATTATCAATTCTAACCTCAGATACTATTTAGAACAGATAGCATGCAAAATGAGAAGTAGGGATTGTGTGCACTTACATCAGGATTAGAGAGTTTACTGATATCAGGATACAGATAATAAGTAATTCCAGTTGCAGCTCCTGGCAGAGTCACTCCTCTGATGAAAAGGATGAACAGCATTAAGTAGGGGAACGTAGCTGTGAAGTACACAACCTGCAAAACAATGACAAACAACACATAAATATCATGTTAGTTGACTTTTCTAAAATATTCCAGTGTTACATACATAAAAGAGATTCCCATAGACTAGCAGACACATGAAGAAAATCATAGACAATTAGCTATTAGGGCATTAGCTATTAGCCGCTTAGCCACATTCTAAGCAACCACTCAAAATACCTTAGCAACATCCACAATGCCACTCTGAACATCAGTGGATTACCTAATACTGGGAAATTCCAACATCGCAGTGGCACATTTTTCACAGCCTCCATGTACATTTTCTTCGGAAAATATTTTGTTACTTATAATGTTCTATTTTGTTTAATTCGTATGTAGACATTGCTAGTTGATATTTTGCATTTATGAGGTTCAAACTAGAATTTCTGAGGAAAATAAGTGAGTGGGGCTTGAACGTACAAAACTAATCGCTATTATGATAAGGTGTTGTGGGCGGTTGCTAGTATGTTGCTATACAGTTGCTAAGGTATGATGAATGCATCACTGATAGCACACATATTGCAGAGATGTCTATTTGATGATTGTGTTTTTGTGTGGCATCTGCAATAAGTCTTTAAAATGTTCTCTGACTAAAGTTAAATAAACATTTAGAAAACAACCTAGGCTCTTTGGGAAAACCTACCAATGGTGACATTTCTGAAAAATGATGTTACCTGCATGTCCAGTAAATGGTGCTAAAATAAGGTGACCAGACGTGCCACTTCCCGGGAACAGAGCAGACGACTCCTTATGCTTTCGAATCGCTCTCACGGTACTTTGATGTCATACAATGATCGATCTGCGCAGCACAAACGGTCAAAAACTGCCTATTTTAGGCAATATAGAAATCCTGGGCAGAACGTGTCCCCGGGGAAGTGGCACGTCTGGTCACCTTATGCTAAAAGCATGTTCAGTTTTATCTGAAAAAAGATGAACATGCAACTGGCAAAATTTTAGTACATTGGTTGTTGCGATGAGTGGTGCTAAAATGTTAATAGTGTTTGAAAATAGCATACTCCCCTAAGTCTAACTGATAATGTTAACAAAAGCAAACCTGAGATAAAAAAGTAATTTATGACGCAACCTTGTCATTTTAGCTTCTACATCTTTTAAACTTTTATTATGATTCATGTTTCATGGGAATTTTACCAGCTTTACCAGGTGAGCTACTGAGCAAGTTTACTACATCAGAAAAGCCATATATGTGATGCACATCATGCAAATCATGCACTATGGTAAAAAAAATATTTTGAGATCAAATCATAGCATTGTGGAAGGAATTGTGTAAAAAATGTTACTACAGTATGTGCTTTGTTGCTGCTAGTTGTTTGCTAAGCTGTTAAGGTTTTTTTGTTGTTGTTTAGCATGCTGCTACGCAGGTGCAACTGTAGGTTGTTCTAGGTGGTTTCTTGAGTGTTTATGCAGCTGTTGAGGTGTTCTGGACTGGTTTTAGTGTGATACTACATTGTTGGATGGTGTGTGTGGTTGCAATGCTGTTGCTAAAATGTTTTGAATGACTGTTAGCATGCTTGGTTGCAAGTGTGTTGATTGGGAATTGCAAGGTGGTTGCTAGTGTGTTATGGATGGTTGCTCAAAAAAGTACAAAGATTCCAGTCCCTAACTATGGCTCAGGTCCTTCAGTGTAAGTCTATGGGTTTTTAGTGTTTGTTTATGATGAAGTACAATTATGCCATTGTTTACACTTGATTATTTCACTGGCAGACTGATGTGCATGAGTATCAGCTGACCTTGCCTGAGGTCTTGACTCCTTTAAAGATGCAAAAATAACAGATGACCCAAGCCAAAAGAAGACACATGGCTAGATCAGCATTTACACTCCCCAGACCACCACTGTTCGCCACCCGCACCATACGATGACTGAGGGTACACAAAAAACCACACAAATATTATAAACAACACTTTTTTTTTAGCTCCATGCATGTCAAGTCTCAAAGTCTTAGATTTCTAGTTTTAGGATAAACCTAGGCCCAGAAACCCAAATATACCAATGCTAGATACAGATGTATCTTTGCTGTTATTTAGTTTTGTGGGCGTTAGTTTAGGAAACTGCACAAACTATAAACATATTGTTTTCATTGAGTTCACTGGCTCTGTGGTTCAGCCCAGATTTCTCAATATCCCATGTCTGCCTGATGAAACATTAAAAGTATTTGTCTCACAGATGTTGGATGTTTTTCATTTTTCTTCCCACCCTTTTAAGGGTAGGGGTTATCTCACTCATAGTCCAAGACTTGGAAGAGAACTAACCCTAAAGTATGTGAGCTTTCTGACATTACCAAATCCTTTCGTAAGTAGCTGACTGACAGTAAAGCAAGTTCCGTGTTGTTAAAATGGGAAATATGCAGGTGTTTTTATAAGGAGCTATTGCTGCCTGACACTGTATGACTGTAACCTGTAACATAATGTAATTATAGGAATTTGGAAATAAACTATATATATATATATATATGTGTGTGTGTGTGTGTATATGTGGAAGCCTGTTTCTGCCCCAGAGTAAAAAAAGAAAAGAAAAAAGGTAACTGTGACTTCTTGTAATTGTGTCGTTATTCCTTGTAATTTCAACTTTATATCTCACAATTATAACTTTATTGATTATAATTGCGACTTTGGTTCTGGTATTTGCAACTTTATATGTCACAATTGCAACTCTTTTTTCACATTAGCTCATTTATTTCATTGCATTCTCAATTTTATTTCTCGTAATTCTGAGTGTATCTTATAACTGCAAATGTATTTCTAACTGTGACTTTATTTTTTTATTGTAATTGCGACTTTATTCCTTGTTGCAATTGGAACTTTATATTTCACAGCTACAACTTTATTTCTCAGAATTGTGACTTTAGTTCTTGCAATTGTGACTATTTCTTGTAATGGTGGCTTTATATCTCACAGTTGCAACTTTATTTCTCATAACGTGCCTTCATTTCTTGTAATTGTGACTTTGTTATATGTTTTTTTTTTTTTTTGCAACAGCACTTTTAATTCTCATTGCAACTTTATTTCCTGTAATTGTGAGTGTAAATTGCATTTCTCATAAACTGTGACTTTATTTCTTGTAACTCCAACTTATATCTCACAATCACAACTTTATTTCAGGTGATTGAGACTTTATTTCTCATGACTCTGACTATTTTTATTTCATAATTGTGACTTTACTGCTTGCAGTTACAATACTTCATATCTTACAATGTGACCTTGTATCTCACAATTCCAACTTTATTTTTTTTTTTAAATGTTCAGTATCTTTCAATGTGACTTCATATCTCCTAACTGCAGCAACCAAACTTTTATTTCTCGGAATTGCAAATTAAAATTATTAATTAAACAGTATCTCACAATCTGATTTTATGTTTTACTTTGAACTTTATCTCACAATGAACTATTTTATTTTTATGCTGGTGCAAAAACCGGGAAAAAAAAGTCTGATCATTTAGAAAGGTGCTAATTCCCCTCAACAAATCACACATAAGTAGCCTAATATTCATTTCTGTAGCACAAACGTTGCAGGATGAGCTACAAACCAAAAGTAAAAACAACTAAGCTGTGCCACTGGGCGAGTCTGAAATTGCCTGACAGGTATTCAGTGTCTTGAGCTTATATGAATTACATAATACATTAAACCACACCTGTGTTCCAATAATTGTCACAGGAAGTCCAAGGTAGAGTACTCCAAAAAGAGTTGAATAGATAAAACAGAGCCCAGGCCAGGACCACAATGTAATATATATTCAGATAAATCACTATAACTTGGGAGGCAACACCTACAACTGTGGACAAAAACCACACTGTGTGAGAAATGCCACCTGTGCAAAATAATACACAAAGCACAGTACAATTAATTCCAGCAATTCAATACATGGACTTTTATGAAAGCATAAGTCACCTTCAAACATGGGGCAGATTTTTCTCCAAGCAGTGATGCCCCCTTCACTGGTGTATTGACCTAATGCCGTCTCAAGGAAGAATACTGGGATTCCACAAAAGAAGAGGAAGATGAAATAAGGGATGAAGAAAACACCTGGAGAGGCCATAACAAAAATGAGTTATTAGTCATAATCTAGGGTGAACATCTTGTTTCCATTATCTTTAAGGGTTGTAAAAGAACAGAGCAATAACATATCATTAAATAAGCAATGTAATACCGTAGCTTCTTTTGATCACATTTGAATAAGGAGCTTGAGGGTAAACGGTAGCAAACACATTAACTTAACTGTTATGGTTTACACGATTCATTTGTAAAGAAATATAACTTGTGCTTACTTATTTTAATAAGTATATATATGAAGAGTTCATTTGCAAACACAGATAACTCCGTTTTTAACAGTTTTCAAAAATCATGTTTTTGCATTGTGCATTCCAATTAATCTCAGTCAGTTGGGTTATTTTGATTAAGTAAAAATAACAACAACAAAAAATACAGCTAACTAACACAATAAAACACAATAAAAACATGATAACATAATAAAAAAACATGATTTTTCAGAATTAAAAAAAAACGTAGTTATCTGTTTTTGCAAAGAAACTCTTTGTGTGTGTGTATATGTATATATATATATATATATATATATGAATTAGCTGAGAGAAGCTCTGAGTTTGCAGAGCTGCAAAATAGTGCAAATAGTGCCTAAAACATAAAAATAAAAAACTATACAACAAATATAATAATATTTAAAGCACAAATGGGTTAGATGAGTTCCCTGCCCAAGTTTAATTTATTGGCATTGAGATTTGAATAAACCCCTAAGCCTAAGTACGAGCAATTGTAAAAGTAAGCACTCAAAAAAAACTAAAAAAACACGTGCTTGAAAGAAACTCTTTGTGTGTGTGTATATGTATATATATATATATATATATATGAATTAGCTGAGAGAAGCTCTGAGTTTGCAGAGCTGCAAAATAGTGCAAATAGTGCCTAAAACATAAAAATAAAAAACTATACAACAAATATAATAATATTTAAAGCACAAATGGGTTAGATGAGTTCCCTGCCCAAGTTTAATTTATTGGCATTGAGATTTGAATAAACCCCTAAGCCTAAGTACGAGCAATTGTAAAAGTAAGCACTCAAAAAAAACTAAAAAAACACGTGCTTGGGGGAAGAGAGCCGTGATGTGTAAGAAAAATTAGTTCTGAGCATTGCAGAAGAACATAGTGGTCTATTGATTAAGTTAAAAACCATGGGCTTCCGTTCTGATGTGCTGAATCTTAAAGGGGTCATATGATGTGATTTCAATTTTTCCTTTCTCTTTGGAGTGTTACAAGCTCTTGGTGCATAAAGAAGATCTGTAAAGTTGCAAAGACTAAAGTCTCAAATCCAGAGAGCTATTCTTTATAAATGTTAAGAGTCAACCACGCCTACCTAAAATGTTCTTTTTAGCAGCATCATATGACCCCTTTAAAGGTCAAATCCATCTCTCTGTGCACAGCTTTAAAACGCCCCAGGCTTATTGCCTCTTTCTTTCTTTCTTTCTTTCAATGTTACACTTCTTCTTCAGCAGTCCTGCTTTCCAACCCTCTCTCTATGACAAACTTTTACTTACCGCCTCCATTTTTGTAGCACAGGTAAGGGAAGCGCCACACGTTCCCCAGGCCGATGATCTCTCCAGCCATGGACAGCAGGAACTCAGTCTTGTTGGCCCATTTCTCCCTGGCCTCGGGTCTTTTTTCAGCGCTCCCTTTCTGGCCATCTGTCTCCATAGCTTCCCCATCAGCAATGCCTCCATCTCTACTCTCGTCCATGACCTTTATCTATCTATATGTGCCTGTCTGTGAGCATTCAGTTTATTACAATTTGTCCTATTAAAAGTCCATCAGCATGCAGAACAATAAGTCTGCATTTGTGGACAAGTTCTTGCAAAGAATTCTGTTTTTTGTTTTAATTTCAGTCAAATTAATGCATCAAATATACTTAAATTCAGTAAAATAACTTTAACATTTAGTGTAAAATGTGTAAGTCTCCTCCAAACAAACTGTTTGTCAAGAAATAGCAGTTAATGAATGTTTACATGAAATTATTAAATTAATTGCATACCCCAAAGAGAAATTATACATACCAAGAAACAGTTCACAAATGTATAATAATTAAAAATCTGGACAAAAATGTCCTTGGACTTACCCAAGTTTGTGGCCAGCTCTCTCACATGCGTGTGCAGAGCATCCGTGCAGAGTGCAGTGTTCTTGAGTGAGCAGATCGTGGTAAGTGGGAGAGGGCGTGACATATGGGGTGTCATGTAGCGCTACAATCTTAGAAGAATTTGTTTTGCCTATGTCACAAAAAGAGGTAAATCCGGACCTGCATGGAGCGCTACAATCTTAGAACATTTACATGTAGTCATTTAGCAGACGCTTTTATCCAAAGCGACTTACAAATGAGGACAATAAAAGCAGTCAAAACTAACAAAAGAGCAACAATATATAAGTGCAAATGACAAGTCTCGGTTAGCCTAACGCAGTACACGTAGCAAGGTGTATATATTATACACACACACACAAACAAAGAAAAACAAGTAGATCGAATAGAAAAAATAGAAAGCTAGTTTTGTTTTGTTTTTTTTAAATAAAGAATAAAAAATAAAAAAAAAAGATAAATATAGATAAAGTAGAATTAAAATAGAATAGAACGTGTTAGAGTTAGAGGGTCAAATAAAGGTGGAACTTAGAGGTGTTTGTGTTTGTAACCATTATAAAAGTAATAATATTGTAATTTAAAAAATATAATCAATATAATTACAGTGTTCATTGGATTGGTCAAAACAAAAACTAAAAATCATTCATTCATCATAATTCATCTTAAAGGGGTCATATTATGCGATTTCAAGTTTTCCTTTCTCTTTGGAGTGTTAAAGGCTGATTGTGCATAGATAAGATCCCTGAAGTTGCAAAGACTACAGTCTCAAAACCAAAGAGATATTCTTTATCAAAGTTAAGACTCTGCCACGCCCCCCTAAAACGTCTCGTTCTAACACGCCCCCACATATCTACCTCACTATGTGGCAATATTAGCATAATGCGGCCCAAATGTTCACGCAAAGAAAGAAGGCGTGGTTTCAGTAACCGCAGTTAGTGTTGAAGCAGCCATGTCAGGGAGACGCTGTGTGTTTCTAGGTGAAAGCAAAAGCACTTTATTTGGCCTTCCGAAAGTAGATGCATTTAGGAATCTTTAAGATTACTTACAACAGAACAGCAATGCTTTTTCTTGCAGGACCCTGTACGTTATAATACTAAATTAGTTTCAATCGTTTAATCACCACCACAGTGTCTTGTCTCCATTGGCAACACGCACGATTTGTGTCGATTGCAAGTGACTTTGTAATTTAGTTTATTTTTTCTTGTCTTCACCACCTGGCTACTGTTGTAAAATGTTGAGAGATTCAAACAAAAAGTAATCAATAAATAGAACAAAATAAAAAAAATAAAAGACTGCAAGTGACGTCGCTAGCGGAAGTGCAAGTGTCTGAGAATGCACGTCTGAGAGTGCAAGTGCAAGGCTGCAGCCAGACCCTCTTGGATGCGGCGGCCATTAGCAAGCCGACACTGCCGCATCCCCGCCGGAATCGGCCCGACACTAAAGTGCACAGCGCCGGACATGGCCCGGATTCATTTTTAATATCTACTTTACTGTTCACTAATCCTTCATTTAAAATTGATACGCAGCCAAAACGTTTACTTTCATTTCCATTATATATAATTTTAAACATAAATAACACAACCTAACACATCTATAAACGTAGATTATGATAAATGCAATTTTAAAGTCCATTTTAAAGAACTCACTTGATCAAGTTGGCACGAAGATAATTTATTTACAAAACTATGCAATTACAGCCAAAAAACAAAAACAAACAAAAAACCACAACAACAAAGGTTGTTATACAGAAAGTGCATAGCTATAAAACATCACATTTTGCAAAATTACCCTTGCATTTACTTATACTTGCATTATAACATTTAATAAGTATAAACATTAAACACTCAGGTACACTCTAAAAAATGCTGGGTTGTTTCAACCCAACTTTGGGTCAAATATGGATTTTTTAGAGTGTAACATAGTTACCTACCTAACATGAAGTAGCAATGGCAAATAGGCTACTTCTAAAGCATATATTAACATTAGTTGATGTTAATTTCAGCATTTACTAATACATTATTAAAAACAAAAGTTGTATCAGTTAACATTATTTAATGGATATGAGCTAACATGAACTAACAAAGAACAGTTTTTTATTATTAACAAACAGTGACAAAGATTAAAACTGTAACAAATGTATCACTCATTTTTAGTTTGTTCATTTCAACATTTACTAAATGTTAAATAATGATACCTTATTGTAAGCATTTTTAACAACACATTGGTAAATGGCAACGTTTTGAAATTAAACACATTTTGTACTTTTGTCTAATCTAATCATTTACAACTATTACCATGGATATTTTTTGAGTAAAACAATGATTACTGTTCCTTGGTTGTTGCTCATTTTCAAATCGCTCAGGATTTATGGTTGTGGTGTTGTAACTGTGTCTTTTGGCATCTTAATCCAGTGATATTATTGTTTTTGTGAGCTTTCATTTCTGCACCTGTAAACAGCAAAAAATATACTATACTTAATAATATACTTAATTAAATTAAATATACAGTATATGTTCTACCTGTTGTTTGACAGACTATTTACAGCACTAACTGCAATGACAGCACAATAAGTGGCTGTGCCCAGCATTATTAATATTTAGTGTGTAGCATGCTAATTAAAGAGAGTTCACCCAAAAAATGAAAATAATTTAGTCCCCTTCATATTGTCCATACCTGACAAACTTGTTGGTG